AGAGCAGAAAACAGTTAAAACAGAAGGTTTACATAAGATCCAGAATCTATAACACAATATGAAAGTGTTGATGTAGTTCATCAGACCAAGAACTAGGAAGAACTCAAACTACATGGAAAAAACCCCAGCAATCGATAGATGCCAAAATGAAGATGACGAAAAAGACAGAATCATCCAGCTATGATTTTAAAGCAGTCGTGACAAAAAATGCTTAAACCAGCAATTACGGTGACGCTTGAAATAAATGAACAAATAGAAAGCCTCAGCAAAGAAACAGGAAGTGTCATCAAAAACCCAGAAAACCTGAAGAAGAACCAAGTGGAAATTTTTGAACTGAAAATACAATAACGGAAGTAAAAAGTACAATGGATGGGCTCATCAGCAGAATGGAAGGGACAAAGGAAAGAACCAGTGAACTGAAAGATAAAACAATAGGAATTACCCAGTATGAACCAAAGATAGCAAATAGGTTAAAGGGGAAAAAAAAGGACAAAATTAATATGCATAAGTCCATACTGATATAAATAAATGATTGAATAAATAAGTAAGTGAGGGAGAAGTGCAATCACGTTAGAGAAGGAAGTTAAAGGCAAACAGATCAGAAAGGAAAAAATAAAACTGCCTCTATTTGCAGATGACATGGTGGTCTATATAGAACATCCTAAAGAATTGAGAAAAAAATTCCCAGAACTAGTAAACAAGGTCAGCAAGGTTATAAGATACAAAATAAACACAGAAAAATCAAGTGATTTTCTACATCCCAGCAATAAAAGTATGGGCACCAAAATTAATTACCCAATACCATTTATAATCACTCAAAACAAAAACAAAAACCTAGATATAAATCTAAGAACATGTACAAGGCCATTATGCTGAAAACTACACAATGCTGATGAAAGAAATCAAAGATGTAAATAAATGCAGAGAGGTGCCATGTTCATTTATTGGAAGACCAAACAGAGAAAAGAGGCCATTTCTCCCCAAACTGATATAACAGTTTAATGAAATTCCTACCAAAATTATAGCAAGACATTCTGTAGATATAGATAAGTTTATTCTAAAATTTATATGAAAAGACAAAAGAACTAGAATAGTTAAAAAAACAATTTTGGGAGAAAAAGAAGTAGGAGGAATCAGCCTGATTTCAAGACATTATAAAGCTACAGTAATCAAGGCTGTGTGGTCTTGGCAGAGGGATAGACACATAGATTAATGGGACAGAACAGAGAATAGAGAAAGGTCTGGAGATCAACCGTCACAAATAGGCCCAACTGATTTTTGACAAAAATATTCAACGGAGGAAAGATAGCCTTTTCAACAAATGGACACGCACAAGAAACAAAATGTTCTTCAACCGAAGTCTCATGCCTTATATAAAGTTAACTCAAAATGGGTCACAGAGTTAAATGCAAAATGTAAAACTTATAGAAAAAAAAAATAAGAGAAAATCTTTGGAATGGAGAGCTAGGCAAAGAGTTCTTAGAAATGACACCAAAAACACAACTGACAAAAGGAAAAACTAATAAACTGGATTTCATCAAAATCCAAAACAAAACAAAACAAAACAAAACCAACAAGAAGGTCTTAGAAATTAACCTGATATATAAAAAATTCAACAGGATGGTTGAATATAAAGCTGAGAAAATCTGCTGGAATGTAGAGGGAAAAGACAAAGACATGAAAAAAAAAAGGACGAAAACAAAAAATTAGAAAATCAGTTCAGGATAACTAACATCCAAATACTGATAGTGAAGGAAGACAGAAAAGGAAATCATCAAATAAGACAAACTAAAATTCCCCCCACATAAGGATATGAGTTTCTAGATTAAATGAGACCACCAAACAACTAAAATAAATAAGAAATGCACACACCAAGGTATATATCATCAACAAATTTCATAACACTGTAAACAAAAAAGAATTTATAAACTTCTGGGGAGAAAAAATGGGTCGCAGCCAAAGGACCAGGTATTAGAATGACTTCGGACTTCCCAAAGCTCAACAATGAAAGCTAAAATACAGTACAGCAATGCTTTCACGTATCTAGTGAACTGATTTCCAATCCAGAATTTTATATGCAAACTATCACATGTGTGAATGTAAAACGAAGACATTTCCAGACCTGCAAGTTCTCCAAAATTTACCTACCACACATCAGGAAGCTCCTGGAGGACAAGTTCCACCAAAAGGAGAAAGCAGAGCAAAAAGAGGAGTCAACAAATCTAACGAGAAAGAGAAGCAAAGAGAATAGCTAGAAAATTCCACGATAAGAAGTAAATGAGGCCTAGAGAGCAACCAACCTATATTGCCTCAAGACTGAGAGAGATTTCTTCAAGAAGATAAAACAGACAGAACACTAACTGTGTTCAAAAGTATTTTTAAAATGATTTAAACAACTTGGGGAGAGTTTGAAATTAAGTTGCACAAAAGTACACAGAAAACTAAGATTTAAAAAACCTAAAAGACAAGATGATTATTAATTCCAGTGAAAAGAGAATTATGTAAGAAAGGAATAGTAATCAGAGTCCACTTAGCAGATTTAGCAAAAATAACGTTTTCTTACATAACAATGTAAAAACTAATACTAATATAACTAACATACTGCCAAACATACTGCTATTGTGGCAGAATGAGAGATGAGAATAATGCAAGTATTTAGAGTGAAGGGCATGCAGGCGATGAAAGAGAGTTAACTTTTTACCTTCCATAGTATGTAACGCCTAAAATGGAGGGGGGAAAAAAGAATTAGCAATATCAGCCTGCTATTTAGAAATATATCAAATGAATCCACTAAAAGTGGTGGCCTCTGGGACCTTGCAGTGGCATAGGAGGCCCCCTCAGGGAATTGCCTGATGTTTTTTTTGTAATAAGCTTAGTTCAACTATTTGGGTATTTAAGTTTTGAAAAAACAAATTAAAAAACAAAACTCTCGCAGCTAATACATGGCTGGGCCAGAACTTGAATCATGTAATTTAATTCCTAATCAGGTCCATTAATTTGTGAGCTCCAAAGGGGCCCGCATCTTCTTAGCTCCTTTACTCCAGCACCTGCCCAGCACAAAGAAAGCCCTCCAAAAATGTTTCTGAATGAGTGGGAGAAAGTTAAAGAGTGGGATTACTCTTCTAACACCAGAAAATGAATGAGAAACGCATTCCAGGCAGAGGAAAGAGCAGAAGCAAAGAGAGCAAATGGAGTGCGAGAGCTGAGCAAGGAAGAGGCAAGGTGGGAGGAGAAGGAGGAATAGCATCCCGAAAACACTGGGTGGAGGAAGGGAAATACAGTGAGCACAGCTGTTTGCAGCTGAGTGGCAGGGGAGAGGGAGGACGTTGGTGCCTTGCAGACAGTTCCAGGTGGCCCTGGCTGTATGTATATAAGCCTTGGGGGTTTTTTGTCTGTTTTGCAATGATGACAGCAACACTTATTTCTACCAACAGTTCCTTCCCAAATAGTTGCAGCCTTCTGGAATCTACATAGTACCAGGCTCTCTAAAATCCTAAGTTGTACAACTTGTTACTCTAAGTAGCCACTGAAAGGGCAACCCCACCAGGGCAAGCAAAGCCTGGTGGAATCCCTACAATGCCACCCTCACCATTTTTGGGGCCTCTCTCTACTCTTAGTAGGAGCACTGGGAAAGAGGGGGCGGGGAGGGGGATGAACTGGGAGATTGGGATTGACATATATATATGCTAATATGTATAAAATAGATAACTCATAAGAACCTACTGTATAAATAAATAAAATTAAATTTAAAAAAAACCAAGAGTATTAAAATGTAGGGCACAAAGGAGTCATCACCTCTAGGTGAACATCTGCATCTGCTATGACCATTATTCACACATTCATTTCATCCGAAGTTTAAGTATTTACTTTATGTCAGGTAGTGTACTGGAATACAAAGTTTCTGATTTTAAATAACTTACTTTCTAAAGGCAGCATCACTTATAAAGTAACAAGGTAAGCAATATAATTGGCATAAAGAAAAGTACTGTGGAAACACAAAGACTATCCAAATTTCTTAAATGTATAATGTCAAACAGAAGTGAAAGAGACAACTCCAACAAATTCCCATATACCCATCACCCTGCTTATACAGTAATCAACTCATCGCCAATCTTGTTTCTCTTCTAAATCCACTCGTTTAATTTCAAGAAATCATATTATTTCATCCACAAATATTTCATCATATATCTAACAGATAGGGTCTCTTTCTTTAAACACAATATGAACCTAAATCTTGAAAACTTATTAAGTTTTTAAGATGTGAGATATAATTAATATATAATAAAATGCACAGATCTTAAGGTGTCCAACTGAGTTCAGACAATGGTGTAGCCATAACCACTACCTAAAACAAGACACAGAACAATTTCCATGGCCTAGGAAGTTCCCACATACCCCTTTCTAGTGAATTTTCCACACCCAGATGACCACTTTCTGATCTGTTACCACAGATCACTTTTGCTTGTTCTTAGACTTTTATAAATGGGATCACAGAGTACTGTATGAGTAAGCAGTTTCTAGGCAAAAAAAAAAAAAAAAAAGGGAAAAGCATTCCGGGGGAAAGAACTACGTTTACGTAATATAAAGGTATGGAAGGATATGTTCACGGAATGCTGAAGGGCTTGAGAGGGTTGAAAACTAGGACTGGTAGCTGATAGATGATATGATGGAAAGAGGAGGTTTGTTGGGAAGCTAGGATCTCCATAGTTAATTCTGGGAACGAAGTTGTTAAGTACATTTTTCCCAATGCCTCAAACTATTTCTCTGACCTGAAAATTGGTCGGTTCTCTCACTATGCTCCTTTCTCCTCAACTCTCTAGCTAAGAGTGACTAAGGCAGGAGCAGCGCCCTACACCCCATGGCTGTTCCCTCCCATTTTGTGCAAGGCCTCTCTGCCATCTCAGGGAAGGGAAGAAGCCCCCCATTGGCTTTCTCATGAGAGGGCACAGTCCCTCTCCCCATTTTAAACAAGCAGTCCCAAGTCTGAGGGGCAGCCTTACCATTATCTGTATTTCTCTCTTGCACACCTGGAGATCATGCTCATTGTTGACAAACATGCGTTTCAAGGCACATTTCATCCCATTGCTTGTCCTCACCAGAAACACGATAGCAAATCCACCTGTGAGAGAAACACACATACAAGCTCTTTTGAGTCATGTTTAAAAAGTCAATCAAATGACCATGGTGGCTGTAGTTTGCTGATGTCACTGTTAATGGTACTGATGTCATCATCAGCTAGGCCTAGGGCTGGCCTGGCATAGAAAGCATTCTTAAGATTCTGGGGACTCAAAGGTATCACATGTGGGATTGGGTAGCAAGTCAGAAAAATTGTTCCTCCAGCTTGCAAGGCAGAAATAGAGGCACATGTAGAGAACAAATGTATGGACACCAGCGGGGAAATGGGCGGGGGAGGTGGTGGTGGGATGAATTGGGAGATTGGGATTGACATATATACACTAATATGTATAAAGTAGATAACTAATAAGAACCTGCTGTATAAAAAATAAATAAATAAAATTCAAAAAAAAAGGATATGAGGTCATTTAAGTAAAGAAAGAAAAATTGTTCCTAAACGTCTATCTAAAAAAAAACAGGAAGAACAGTAATTATCTTCCAAAGAAACTACAGATAAACAGATGAATGAATGGATGAAAAAAAAGAACCAACTACATTCCAACTGCTATCCTAGGCACTTTGAGCTCTTGTTTAATTCATACCACAATCCTGTGAGGCTGGGTGATATTTTTTCCCTTAAGACAACAATTACTAGCTGAAGAAAACAGAGGCTCCTTAAGAGATTAGATCCAACCAAGGACTTCTTTAAAAAAACGTAAGTCCAACACTTAAAGAGAGGCTCGGAAATTATTTCAAGAATTGCTCTATGAATAGTTGGCAATTAATTTCAAGAATCTCCTTCTCTTCCTTTTTTCTCATCCTTCCTCACCCCATCCCCCAACTCAAATCAACAATACACTCTGAGGATTCCTCCTGCCCTCCCTACCTCATGGGCTGTTGAGAAGACACAGACATAGTTAGGAAAGTACTATTCTACACAGCAGACACCAGGCAAGTATGATGATTACTGGGCAGAGTTTTTAATGTCTGCACTAACCCTTCTCTAAAAGACAGTTCATAATTCATTAAAAGAAGTTACTATAACTCCAAAAGAAATTCTTCAGTGCTCTGAATTGGTTATGCCTTAGCGTCCCACAAATTCTTAGAGCTCCTAACCTTGACCTCACTCCCCAAACACTGTAAGAGGCATTCAGTGCCACTGTTAAGAGGGGTTTGGGTAGATAATGTGCAGCAAAGCTATCAAAGTTGAAGGCTTTGGGATAAGCAGCAGTTATATCAGACACTTAGTCCATCTGCCTGCTCACACACCTGCATAATTTAGCTTGAACTATCCTGCGCACTGACCCTGGGTAGTGAAAAAAATTGCTAGGCTATTCTTTGCACGGAGGTGATGTCTAATTGGATGGAGCCGAACACAGAGACAAGTCAGCAGTACAGGAAGTTGAACTGAGGTCATGGCATAGTACTGGGGCAAGCAGCCACGTGCAAAATTGATACAAGGTAATTAGCAGTGATTATAGAGACCTCAGACCTGAGATATAAGACTTGGGTCCCAATCATTCCACTCTAAATCCTCTGAGACCCAGCAGCCCTCCAGTACCTGTCTGTTGATGTTCAAGATATTTCCTGTTGTATCTTTAAAATAACTGTTCTTTTTCAAATTAACTTGAGTCAGATTCTGTACCATGCAACCAAAGAGAGCTTTAATCATAAAGCACTGTTGCACGTTTTCATAAAATACACACATAATTCTGTGGTAAAAAAATTGTTTAATGGGCTCAAATGTTCCAAAAGCGCATTTTGATAATGATTTATCAAAGACTGCATGCTTGTATATTTCCTGTCCTTGTGCTCTTCAGTACTCAGATAAACAGTAAAGTTCACCATACAATCTTTCATTTCAGCTGTCATGTCTCTAAGTTTTGTACCTCAATAACATTTTCTTGTAATACTTTAAAGTCCACTCACACTGCTCAGCTGTCAATTTAACTCTACAATTTTGAGTATTTACTATAGAAGATTTTTTAAATTCTAGCATGCACTGACAAGTAGAGGTCTAATTACACATGCAAAAAAAACCTCCTCAATTCTAAGATGCATATTTTTTACATTTTAATTTTTAGGATATCAGAATTTTCTTATAATAAATATGTACATTTAATGCAGTAGTATTTGTCTTCCTTGCCCCCATGCCAAAAGCCATTAAATTCATGATGTGTCTTAGCAATTAAAATTGGGGAAAATGAAAAAAAATAAAATAAAATTGGGGAAAATGATAGTATAAATTATAAAATTTCTATGTATAGCCATAATTGTTTTGTGAATAATAAAAGAGGGTTTTCATTTTACAGATATTTTGAATTAAAAAAAAAATCACAGAACTACAGACTTTACACCAGTAGTGTTTCGAGAGAGCCTTAGTCCAAGCAGTTTGCTTTATGCGGGGAGGAAACAAGTGAGGCTTAGGATCCCATGGCTAGTTATGGGCAGAACCTGGACCAGTTTCACCGTCCTGATTATCTAAAAAATGTTCTTTCCACTTCACTTATCTTAGTGAAAACTATGCAATACTCATTTAGAGAATAAGGACACACCTGACAGTCCTGCAGAACAAAAGCTGGGAATGACTAGTTCCTGCAGTTCTGTGATGCATGGCACCACTAAAGAATGAGGCAAGTCTTTAGAAGCAGGTTGGTGATGCGGCAACTTGAGATAACTGCCACCAGATGGGAGCAGTCAGCTTTCTTTGCCAGGTAGCAAGATGACCTTTCCAGACCAGACTGAAGAAACGGGTCAGAGGCCTATCACATGATCCAGTCAAGGACAACTGGTTGAGAAGAGCCAGCCCAGATCCTCAAAGCCTATGACCAACATAGATCTAAAGGCAACGCAATGAACCACTATGCTTCACATAGACAGAACCACGTTTTAGGCATCTATGCCTATAAAAGGGCTTATTTGCAGGTGAGAAGCATTTAAATCAGGGTTTCTTGATCATGAGATCAAAAATTGAAGCCTGAAAGGATTTGTCCCTTTAAAGATGTTAACCACTTACACCATGTAGTTGACCAAACAGAGTGTAAATTTAAGGTAGAGGGCACAGAGCACGACTCGAGACACTTCTCCACCACAGGCCCACATCCACCACACAGATCAGGGTAATAAGATTCTCAGCCACAGCTAAAGAGGGTGCGGGGATTACAGAAGGCAGCTATAAGACTTCAAGAGAGGTGCTTACCTTAATGGCTTTTTTGTTTGTTTGTTTTTTCTTTTTATTTGCGGTACGCACGCCTCTCACTGTTTTGGCCTCGCCCGTTGCGGAGCACAGGCTCCGGATGCGCAGGCTCAGCGGCCATGGCTCATGGGCCTAGCCGCTCTGCAGCATGTGGGATCTTCCCGGACCGGGTCACGAACCCGTGTCCCCTGCATCAGCAGGCGGACTCTCAACCACTGCGCTACCAGGGAAGCCCGAGGTGCTTACCTCAGGTTGAGGTGCATCCCTAGATCTTGATTAAATGGAAAAATCTAAAGCTGAGCTGGGGAGAGGTTGGACAGAGGTAAGAAAAGCTAACATTCAGCAGAGCCTGTGCCAGTCTGCCCACGGGAGCCTGCGCCAATCTCGCTGCCTACTGGCATTGTCTGAAACTAAGATAATCTCCATGATTACACTGAAATCCATTTGTGGGAAAATTCATGAATTTATTGAATCATAAAGGGAAAAAGGATCTGATCCATTATGTGAGCTAAGTGAAAGAGGCAGGATAATTTTGACACAGACACACTTTTACCTATTAACTTTAAATACAGAAATATTTTTTGGGCTTTCCTGGTGGCGCAGTGGTTAAGAATCCACCTGCCAATTCAGGGGACACGGGTTCAAGCCTGCTCCGGGAAGATCTCACATGCTGCGGAGCAACTAAGCCCATGCACCACAACTACTGAGCCTGCGCTCTAGAGCCCACGCGCCACAACTACTGAAGCCCACACGCCTAGAGCCCGTGCTGCACAACAAGAGAAGTCACCGCAATGAGAAGCCCGTGCACCGCAATGAAGAGTAGCCCCTGCTCGCCACAACTAGAGAAAGCCCACGTGCAGCAATGAAGACCCAACGCAGCCAAAAATAAATAAATTAAAAAAAAATTTTTTTTACTTCCACAAAGAAACATGCTTTCTCCCACTTTCCCTAAAATACATAGCACTCTTGGTCTAACTTTCTCCCTCTAATTTTTGATGATGTGGATGGGTACTTACCACTCACTGTGAATTTAGAGATTTTGTCTGCTTGGTTCCCCTTTGTATCTTCGTGCCCTAGAGTAGTGCCTGACACGTAACGAGGCCTCAAAAATGAACTAACTCTCCTCTTAATGTTACTACAGGAAAGGCTGCAGAGACTGGTGGAGACAGTGGCAAACCCAAGCACATGGCCCATGGAAAGGAACAGCTACCGTACAACTCAAGGTAATTACTGCCACATAGGGATACAGACCCCGTTTTATCATCAACACTTGGTATTACTGGTCTTCTTATTTTAGCCATTCTAGTGAGTGTGTAGTGATATTTGTGTTTTTTTTATGTTCCCATATCTATTTTTTTTTTACATCTTTATTGGAGTATAATTGCTTTACAATGGTGTGCTAGTTTCTGCTTCATAACAAAGTGTATCAGTCACACACACACATATGTTCCCATATCCCTTCCCCCTCGCGTCTCCCTCCCTCCCACCCTCCCTATCTCACCCCTCTAGGTGGTCACAAAGCACCGAGCTGATCTCCCCGTGCTATGCAGCTGCTTCCCACTAGCTATTTTACGTTTGGTAGTGTATATATGTCCATGCCACTCTCTCACTTTGTCACAGCTTACCCTTCCCCCTCCCCATATCCTCAAGTCCATTCTCTAGTAGGTCTGTGTCTTTATTCCTGTCTTACCCCTGGGTTCTGCATGACATTTTTTTTTCTTAGATTCCATATATATGTGTTAGCATACGGTATTTGTCTTTCTCTTTCTGACTTACTTCACTCTGTATGACAGACTCTAGGTCCATCC